GCTCCGATGGCCTTCCCCCTGCTCTATTTAAAGATGGCGGAATAAAGCTTGTGAAAGAACTACAAGTTCTGTTCGCTAAAGTGTGGTACACTGAGCAGGTCCCCTCGTCGTGGGGGGAATCAATTGTCGTCCCCATCTTCAAAAAGGGCTCGCGCAATGACTGCGCCAATCATATGGGTATAAGCCTTATCCCGATAGCGTCAAAGCTGTTGGCGTCCGTCATTCTCCGCCGATTGTACACTACGCGCGAAGAGCAGACCCGTGAGGAGCAGGCTGGGTTTCGTGCCGGTCGTGGATGCATCGATCAAATCTTCACCCTCCGATTGCTGCTAGAGCACCGTCATGCTTATCAGAGACCGACGATCATTGAGCATCCACATCATTTGTTGTGTTCCACGTTCCCAGTTGACTACCGTCAACTTCAGCAATCAATGAAAAGTGGGAAGAGAAACTGTTGGCGTAGTGTAAAAATTCACCCCCTGAAGAAAGACATCAATCATAGACAGAATCTGACCTTCTTAACAAACCACACATCTAGAATAATAGCTACAGTATACCAACGGATAAGGTGATGGAAACCGTGTACTTTTACCTAACTATAAAGACGGTTGTCGAAGTGATTCCACAAACTACCTTCCAGTCACACTTCTTCCTGTTCTGTAATGGAACTAACTGTTGCTGACTTCCTGATGAAGTATTTCGAAACACAAAAGGTTTCGCCGCCAGATCCACACGCGTTACAATGAAACCGATCGTGTGCACCACCAATCTGTTAAATGCACGAGATGAGAGGACAAGAACCGTTAACGCAGAAGAGGTAGTGGATGCGGCCTGTTTGGACTTCTCTAAAGCTCTTAACTGAATGAACCACCATATACTGCTGTAAAAGCTCCACCATTACGGTGTTCCAGAACAGCTCCCTGATTAGACTTTAGAATTTCTTCGACAGCCGACCACATCAGTCCGGATTAATGGTTCACTAATAACGACTGATTGATGAAGTCCGTGCATTTGCTCGTTTGTTATCAGCACACATTGGGTCACAAACCGAATAGATCATAAAGGTTAGGTTTTGACAAAACAACGCTTGAACGTCTGCAAAGGATATCAGCCGAATTGGTCAAATAATTACAATCCAGCTAAGACCTACAATGTGAAAATGCTTCGAATTCTAGGATTCCA